CATTGTGTCATTATCGTAGTCAATCCAGGTGGTGCACAGGTTGGTGAGTCTGGTTTTGTAGTCTCCAGGGATGGATCTATCTACCAGGAGCTGGTGTTTCACCCCTCTGGTATTCCTACAAATTCTTTGCTCATGTATTAAATCATGTGCCTCTTCATCTTATCTGCTATGATATCTGTCTTTCTGGTATATCTCTTCAATCGACTGGCTAAGGCTGTAAACGTTAGTGTGGCAGTTTCCAATGCCTCAGGTATAAGCAGCTTGTACTTCTTAGGCGTCACTTTCTTCATTGCATGTTTCTGCAGCTCTGATAGTTGTCCCTCTCTGCCACCTTGATCTTGGCCTCTACTATCCTTCTCCATGGAGGCCACTGCTTCTTCTGGCTGTTCATCTTTTTGCCAAGCATCTCTGTGATCACTGCTGCCATGGTGTAGATCAGCTAGTTGGTTTTGGTGATGGTCGCATTATGGATTGTCCATAATCCCATTCACATCCTCTAGTAGACCTTCGGAAGGTACTTCACTTTGTTTTGGTAAGTGGATACAGAGGGTCCAAGTTTCCACCTTCGTCATGATCCTGCATTTCAGGTCAGCTCGTCTTGCACTCAGTACTCCTTCTTTCGTATCTCCCCCGCGACCTGACGTTCTGGCTTTCCCTTGCCGTAGCATTTGTGTTGTATCTCATCAATCTCCAGTTGTGATAGCAGTTCTTTCTTCCGAATGTTGGAACACTAAGCTAGTAGTTGTTTCGTCGTCAGTCTGGAAGTCGGGTATTGAAAATTCCATAGGTCACACCTCCTCTTCATGTAACCTCTTCCGTTGGGGTTACTTTCGAAGTAGCATTCCAACAGCCCTGTTCTCATCTCTTGCCACCCTGTGCCTTCTTCTTCCAGTAGCCCACTTCTCATCGCCTGACGAGGACCTTCAATTATCTCTCTGTCACTCACACTTGACAAACCAACATGTATTTAAACAACAATATACCCTTGTGTTTGGGGGAAACACTTCCCCCCTTACAGTATTGATGACTGCACGTGTGTGTGAGGGCGTGTGCTGGAGGCAGCGTGACCTATAATGTATAAGATGAGTCACACATCCGCCTATATCAGCCTATAGAAAGATTTCTGTCTTTTTATAGACCTCTAATGAACTAGTCACAAGAAACTAAATTTGCTTCACACACACATGCACACAATGGTGCCTGGTTTGCCTCAGTTACATCACACAGACTGTTTAATAAAAACAGGCACCACACTGACTGCACAAGTTGATGCTTATTTTGCTAATGACAAACACTAGGCACATAAATGACCGAGCTAGTTCTTACAAAAACAGCAGCAAGCAAATTTCTGAAAGAAACAACAAACAAAAGATTATTTTAAGCAACAGCTGTGATGATATCTGTAGCTCTATGTGTGTTTACAGGGAAATAGCTGACTTATCAAGAGCATACCAGAGGCTATTATTCTCAAGCTCCCACTTTCTGATAGCTTTCAACTGTACATGAGCATAATATGATACGATTTGTGTAGTGTAGAACTGGGGTCGCTGTAGCTCAGGAGGTCGAGCAGGTCACCTATTAATCCAGAAGTTGGTGGTTCAACCCAAACCTCAATGCCAAATATCTTTGGGCAAGATGCTAACCCTCAGTTGCTCTCTGATGCCTCTATTGGAGTGTGAATGTTAGATAGTAAGCACTTACATAGAACGAGCATAGAAAAAAGTACTTGGATGAATGAGGCAAGTTGTATAAAGCGCTTGGAGTGCTCAGTTTGAGCAGAAGAGCGCAATATAGGGACCAGTCCTATTCAACATTCAGAACAACTTCCAATTAGCAGCTACATCATGATATTTTTGGATAACAAAATTCAAACTGAAGACAGCTACCTTGTTAGTTAGTCCAAAAATCCAAAATGTAAAATCAACCGCCCATGTCTTTCTCCAAGATTTACAAAAATTTTGAATTACTTTTTGTGTTTTTTAACCAACATTTGTTAAAGGTTGTGGTTATGATTGCTAAAACCCATGGGCTTTTTACTTACTCTAAAATCTTTTTACAATACAGCTTTGTGCTTTTTAATAAATGTCATTTTTAAAAAAGCAGATCCGTATCTACCACAGTATTAAAGTTTAATACTTATTCATTCAAAAAAGTGAATTGTTCATTCATCTAACAGTTTATATGCAGCTAACAACACCGTGTGACTGGTTACAGATAATGTCAGCACTGTCACAAAGCTGCAAGTCTGGACTTTTAAAGCTGATGTAAAACACATCTATTCAGTCTTGTTTTATGCATATCTTCTCACCATCATTAGCCCCATATTTACAACCACTTGTGTATTCACTAAGAATTAGACAGTCACAGGAGGATGGCTGTGTTTTGCGGCTGATGGGAGCTTGAATGTGCTGCCCGAGGGATTCTTGGAAATGGTTGGATACAGCAGTTGTCCTCTGAAGGGCAGAGAGCGCAATTTTCCACAGAAAGATGATTATTTCCAAGAAAACGTTGTTTGCAAATTATTGAGAAAAAGAAATCAAATTATAGGGAGTGGACAAAATAACAAGAGGAGAGAAATAACACGTGTATAATGCGTACATCATTCTGCATACAAGCTGTCCGGTTTGAAAATGCATATTTATGTGGATGACTGTAATCTAATCAAATTCATGGTTCACAATTAACTGAAGTCTTACTTAATCACATTTTCTGGTGTTTTCTGTGATTTGCATTTTTTATTCACCACTTGTGATCTGTGGAGTACATTACTGAGTACAGCACTGTAATGAGCCAGGATTGCTGTCATTTACTAGCTAGTCCCAAAGCCATGAGTCAGTTTTAAAAAAAGAATCCACATAAAATATAACAAACAAACAATAACCAGGCTCAGTACACCATGAGACATATTTGTTCATGTCGCCAAATAATATAGA